TACCTCTTGTAAGAAAGGATTAGCTTTCTCCTCAACCCATTCCAGATCCATTTTGAATTAACAATTGTATGTGACGGGGAATGTAGGATATTAATATTGAAAAAACACATTTATAGCACCATGATAAAAATTTGTAAAATGTCATTAAAAACTGTTATACTTCTTTGTTCTCCAGATTGAGTAATAAAATAAGCAAACATGGGACATGATTCGGCCAGAATTAAACACTTTTAAGTAACATTGATTTAACTAGGCACTTACTTACTATTTCAGAGAAATCAATAGAACTTAAAAACACTTTACTTGATTGGATCATGCCCCTTAAACTATTTAAAAGACAGCATTTTAAATAGACATGAAAAGACTGTCAAGGGATTACACTGATTTTAGTTCAGGGGTCAAGAGTCTTTGGCCTTCCAGGTTTTGCTTGACTACCACTCCCATCATCCCTGAGCACTGGCGATGCTGGCTAGGGTTCCATAGCAACATCTGGAGGACCACAGCTTCTGCTTTAGTCAATTTGTTTGTGTGTTCATTAAAAGTTAAATGCATTTACACATTACGTTGCAGGGGTCATTGAAGAAACTGAAGGAAGGCAGTATCTTTTAATTAATCACATTGTTAACAGGAAAAAGAATGTCAATAGTTGCTTTTTTATCAGTTTAGGCACCTGAAATATGTATGATTTAGTTTTTGAAGGTGGGACCAAATAAAAACTGCTGCTTTGCTGATGTTGTTTGTCCTGTGTTGGTTTGCGATTGCAGAGCAATGTGGCAGCAGTTGGGCTCTAAAGTTGAGCAAGTCCATTTTAGAGCCCAAGACTCCACCTTCCATTGGGAGCCAAGATTCTTCCTTTGGAAAAGGCAGGTGGAGGGACAATTCTGGCTAACAGCTGGCTACAATCCTTGAAACATTTTCAGCCAGTCTACATATGAATGCAAGAGTGGCTTGAACTGTGCTGTTACAACCTGTATTCATCCTGGAATTGATAATCAGTTGTGTCAGCCCTAGGGATTGGAACTGAATTCAAGAATCATTGTCCCCTTTGGTCAAAAGCGTTGACAATACTTATTATTTCTATGTATAGAGAAGGAGGAAGATTGTAGTGCACAGTAGTATATACAAGTTTTTTGGCTGCTCTTTTAATTTGCAACAGTAGCTTTCTGACATTTTATAGTTTATCAACCAAATATAAGGACTTGAACTTTCAGAAGGTCAAATCACTGTGGATTTTATCAGAGGTGTTAGGGAATTGGAACAGAGATTAAAAGATTAATAGATTTTATCTTTGCTAAGGAGTCAATTCAAGGACTTCAAATAACACTTCTAGATGGGAAAACTGTGATTTATTTTTTCATATTAGGATGTGTCTGAAAGGAAGACATGAAGGATTTTTTTGAAGAAGGCATTCATAATTGATCAGACTCAGTTTTAGAAAGATCCTCAAAATAGTTTTCTAAATAACTGAAGATCCAAGTTATATACACATTTGCAAAATGAGCTAAAGCACTTACTCAAACTCAGATATACTCAAAATGTATAATATTTTTGATATAGAATATTCCAAAAGCCCAAGTTTCCCAATAGAATATTGGGTTTGTGTGATAGATAGTTTAAGTCTGAAATTTTGGCATGAAACAGCTGACTTTTATTTATTAATTTTAATTTGGTAAGTAGGTATAGTTTTAGGAGATCTACACAGCAGTTCACATCTTGTATATCTGGCAGCATCTCCAGGGATGTATGTCTCGTGCTCTTTCAAGCTACAATTCATTATATTTATTACACTTACACTTACCCAAAAGACTTTTGGGAAACATCTAGCAAAACTTTGTACTGTATCCCAAAAGCTCAGAGCTGCAAGCTTAATGATAAAACCTGCATAGTGTACATTGTTTGGAAAGTCAGATTTCAGATTTAGATTTATTACGGCCATTGGCCCATATCAAAAACAATACATCAGAATTTATCCATAAACAATACAATTTAAACAGTTCCAAGTTAAAACACCCTTATAAAACCAATTTTACTTTAGTTAAGTAAACACTATACACAATAAGCTCCTCTATGTAAACCGCAATTCCGATCCATCAGATTTTGGGGGTATACGTCTTAGTTCTGGCACTTATTGATGGTTCTTAAGTTTAGCTAAGCTGTCAGAAACATACAGTGATCCATTTCTCCTCTTTTGAAATAAAACATTAATCAGGTATCTAGCGATTGCAAGGGATCTACTTGTATCTTCGTCGTTTAATAAGTATATTATTTGGGCTTCCTGAGGACTGTCAGCAATTCTCGATAAATATGGGGCCAGAAACTTGGACCGTGAAGCCGAATGTAATGGACAACAGAAGATTATATGATATAACGATTCTATAGATCCGCTTTACAGTCACAGAGGAGTGAGATCTGTCCGTTGGAGAGTCTGTTACCCAACACGTTTGATGGGAAAACATTGAATCTAGCCATTATAAAGGCATACCTGTAGCGTCACCACAGATAAGGTAGTTAAGTAAGATGGAAGTTTCGTTGGTGGAGTTAAGCCAAGGTTTATCGGCGAACAGGTGCCTCCACCTGTCGCAATATTAAATTGTAAATCCATCTCCTCTAATTTGTGAGTTATAATTCTTTTGGCCGAAGTTAAATCCAATTTTAATAGTTCGGATGGAGATAGTCCTAGGGACACAAGTTTCCCATGTATTATTTTTGCCCAGGGGCTAGGGAAGTCATCTCTCCAGAGGCATTGTATCAGGTGGAGATTTGGAAGTTTATGCCATAAAGCCAACCAGTAACAGAGGATGCATTTCCATAATGTGGTTTCTAGAGATGTAACATTTAGTTCCAGTCGTATAGCAGTATTGCTTACACACCTGGGTAATTTTAACAACCTTCTTAAAAGCTGGTTTTGGATTACCTCCAACTGGGTTAGATTAGCAAAGGACCCCCATAATGGGACTGCATATGCTATTGTTGCAATCACCTTTGCCTTGAAAACTTTTAACACTGATGGAATATGGAAAGCCCCATCTGAAAAGAAAACGCAATAGCGCATAGGAAAGGGCTTTAGCTCTGTTTAATACATATGCAACATGGACCTTCCAGCCCATGTTGTGTTGGAGGAAGACTCCCAAGTACTGAAATTTAAAGACTTGGTCAATAGCTTTTCCGTCTATTCTCCAATTATAGGTTTTTCGACTCTTGGTGAAAATTAGAACTTTGGACTTAACATGGTTAATTGTAAGAAAATTTGATTTACAGTAAACATCGAAAATTTTTAATGCCCTCCTAAGGCCGACTCTTGAAAAGGATAGGATCACTGCGTCGTCTGCGTAGAGTAGAAGGGGGCAACGATATTGGGCAAGACGGGGGGCGTGGATCGTTTCTTGAGCCTCTATCAGAGGCGCCCTCATATCACTTATAAATAGATTGAAAAGGGTCGGAGCAAGGATACATCCTTGGCGAACACCTCTATTGATAGTTACTGAGTTTGAGAGGTCGCCTGCCGGAGAGATTCTCACCCTAGCGGCCGATCCGTCATGCAGTTTAGTTATTAGCCACAAAAGTCTTTTGTCTATTCCCCATCGGGCTAGTTTTCCCCAAAGCAATCCTCTGGGGATGCTGTCAAAAGCGGCCTTTAAATCAATAAAGGCCGCACAAAGTTGGCCTCTATTTGGGGAGGAGTATTTCCGGGCAAGGTGGTATAAAACTAAGATCTGATCAACCGCTGACTGATTCGGTCTAAAACCAGCCTGTTCAGGCCCAATCAGGTTGTTCTCTTCGGCCCACTTAGTAAGCTTAGTTAACAAGAACCGTGCATATATTTTCCCGATTAATGACAATAAACTGATATTCCTGTAATTTCCCAGGTCATCTGTCGAGCCTTTTATGAATTGGAACAATAATCGCATCCTTCCATATTCTTGGTACCTTCCCACTGTTGTTTACGGCATCAAAGGTAGCGGCCAAGATTTTCGCCCACCAGTCAGCATGAAGCTTTATAGCTTCTGCCGGGACTAGATCAGGACCGGGGGCTTTTCCGATTTTAAGATTAGAAATAAGAAATAAGAAATAAAGTCAGTAAACTATTAAGGAAAGTCAGTAAACTATTAAGGACAGATTGTATTGGCTCAGAGAGTAGCAACCAATGGTAAAAAAAACAAAAAAAACAACAACAGAATGTTGGAACATGATCAGTGCTGATCAATACGTGAAATGTTTGATGGGTTTGGCTTCATATTATTTGAGATTTAAAGACAGCTTTGCTGCCATTGCTCTCAGTATTTTGACTGTCAAAAAATAGAGAACTAAATTCAGTTGCTCCTAATCCTGCCAGGTAACCTTTCTGGAATATATGAGTCAATTTATGACTGCCTTTGTATTTATTTCTATATTTCCATTTATTTATTAAATTTATATCTCATCCTTCCTCACAAAGGAGGCCAGGCAACAAACACAACAGTGATAAAACAATTGAAACATATAAAACCATCTAAAAGTAAGTACTGTCTTACTGTGATGTCAACTTGCCATTTATTCTTTCATCTTTCCAAGGTATTTTAAATTTTGTATTATGTATGCTTTTATAATTGCAAGTCACTTTGAGACATTTTATGTAATAAGTGATGAATAATTGTTGTTGATGATGATGACGATGACGATAATAATAATAATAACTTTTGTCTGTGAGATGTGGATTTGCTCTGTTCTATCCCAAATGGTGGGTGGTTATGAAAGACTCATTGTTTATGCCAGCTAAGACCTATATACAGCAGAGCAGAGATACTTCAGTTACCTGCTGTTCACAAGACATTGCCAGAAATTCTTAGGGGAGGATAGGTTGCTCAGTACATGTTACCCATCTCCTATGGATACCCCAAGCATAGTTTTCTACCTGGACCTTCAGTCAAACTTGCAGCAAAAGAGACTTTCTCCTGTTTTCCTGTTTATGACACAATTTCCCTCTTGCACATGCCTGCCTGCATGCCTAGCAGTCCCAAGAGTCATTTCCTCAAGTGTTCATCTTCTTTCTCCTCCAGGTAAATCACAGCCCATGGCTGTTCCTGTTCAGCTGCTTTTAGCTTATTTACATCTTTCTGCAACTGTTGAATGGCTGTAGGAATATTCTTTGTAGTAGAGCTTTCATCAGACTGGCAAGATCGATCCTTCTCCTCTGAAGTGTGTAATTGCACTTGAGTCATAGATTTGTGCCTACTTAGAGAGGCCATATCCTTCACTAATTCCACCTTGCTTGCTTGTGCCACGACTTTATCCAGTGTTTTATGCTTCAACAGTCTCTGCTGCATTTACTGATCACCCTGCAATTGATCACCCCACAATTGATTGATCACCCTAGGTTTCAAACTGATATAGTCCAACATGTCTGGTGTATAGGGGGTCATGGTGGTATATGCTCTTAGCCAAGACATTGCAGGCTTTGTGTCAAGGATGTTTCACCTTTCTGGTCTGTGATTTGAAAGCTTAGTGAGATACCATTCAGAGGAAGCTGTTAGCTCTAGCACTCTTTGCAAGTCGGTTGCCAATTGGTTATAATTTCTACTGATTCCGGAACTCAGTCCCTTATTGGGTTCACAAGCTTTCCCTTGCAACATCCCTTAAAAAGTCACCTTTGCATTAAACTGTGCAGCAATTTGAAATTGTTCGATCCTGTTTTGTCCCTCACCACTGCAGCCTAGTTGGAGATGCTGCATGTGAGCAGAAGCTCAACCACCGAGCATTTTTAGATCCTGTTTGCTGCCACCAAATTGTAACAGAAGTATTTTTAATAGGGCTTGGCTAGAATCTTTCACATGAACCCACAGCAAAACAGGACTGACTATTTTATTATTATTTTACAAGCAACATGTGCAGCTCACATGCTCAAGACTCTAAGCTGTTCAGAAGAGACAATCTAAGATACTGATTTAAAAATACCAGTAAAAGTAAAATGTTAAAAGCAAGTGACATAAAATAAAATCAGTAATTTTAAAACAATTTTACTTTTTAAAATCACATGCTAAAAATTCATGGCTGGTTAGACTTTCTGGAAAAGAATTTTTTTTAGCAGGCACTGAAAACAATGCAGCAAAGGCACATTAGAAGACCAATTTCTTACAAGTGCAGAATGAAGCATTATGTGACACATGTAAAACTGACAACTCCACAGATCTAATTGGTTGATTGGGCAAGGGCAGATCTAGGGGAGCACGTCCGGTTCAGCTGCACCAGGCATGGAGCTTCTGGGATACCGCAACAGGTGTTGCAACTATGTTGTCCAACAGAAGGCGAAAGGGGTGGGGCATGGAATTTCCACATCACACAGGGTGCGACTGAAATTTGTGGTGCCAAGGTCCGCCACTGGATTGGGCACTTATGGGGTGTAAACTGGTCCCAAACTATTGAGGACATTATAACAGTAGCAATTGGATTTTGGCCTGGTTAAGAAAGCAGCAGATCTCAGAACAGGGGTATTATATGCTACATCAACTTCAGCTTCCATTCCAAAAGCAAGGGAAGCCCCACAAATAACATGTTGAAGTAATCCAATCATAAAATCAGTAATACCCAAACCACCATAGCGAAGCTATCCCAATCCAGGAATAGCTATAGCTGTCACACCAGCCAAAGCTGATAGAAGGTGCTTCTAGCCATTGAGGTCACCTGGCTAAAAGTTAGTCACCAAATCAACAAACTGAGGTCTACTGAAGGGGTAGGTAGACAAATAAATAAATGATGAGGCTTACCAAGGTAACATAAAAACATATTTATTCCCACTCCATCTATATTAACCTTCATTCCTACACACGCCAAGAGTTTGTCCTCTTCTGTTAGAGGTGTGTGGTGGAAGATAATTTCAGATAGGAGTGATTAACAATGATTGATTGGCCCATGCCATTATTGCTTCTTTGATGGGTACTCTGGGAAGTAATCATGTCATCAGTACTTTCCACATAATATCAACATTTTATATTGCCAGAGTTTCACAGAACACAGAGAAGCATCAAACATGCCAGTCATGTAACTTAAGAAGGCTTTCATGACCAGAAGGATCAACTGCCTAAAGATAAAAGGGTAAAACATTATTTTGGACCAACTGTATACTTAGGACATGGAAGGGGATACAGCAGGAGGCCGAATGGCCTGAATTCCCCTCCAGGATGTAGGGCTCTACAATTTTACCACAGCACAACTTCTAGGAGAAAGTAGGGTCAATGGATGAGCCAATCAACACCATTCATGAAACTCGCCTACATATAAGTCCTCCTTTCTCCTCCGTTGGAGAAATTTGAGGCCCACAACAACTTTCTGTCTCTCATTTTATAGGACCAACACAGCAGCAACTTTCTGATAAGGTTATCATGCATTCACTCTGTACACTACTGAGACAAGGCTATAAACATGTGCCCTAGCATGACTGCATAAATGTAATTTGTCCAAATTTCTTCCAATATATTTCCTACAACTGTAATCTTCAAAAACAGAAACAGATATGTAAGGTTTTCTTACAGGCATACTTTTAAAACTGCCTCAGTAATAATCCCGACATCAACTCAATATACTTACGGTACTATTCATTTGTATAAATCATTTGGAGAATTTATTTTTGGTGTGAGATGCATTTATAACCAAATGCCCTATGGAAGACACTGTTTACAAGTGAAATGAATTGCAGATATGTCTGTCATTCAGAAACAGCATAACAGCAATGTATGGGAATATAAGAAAACATGGTTTTAAATCATGCTTTTATAGACCCACTTTGCCATAATGATCCGAAATTCCATAAGATGACATGAAGACAACAAATTCTGTGAGATGATATGAAGACAACAATCTTGGCAGGAAAATAAGATGTTTCAAAATCATCTTTTTATCTGTCACATTTATTTTCCATTAGCTTCCCTGCCACTTTCAACAAGTCACTATCACTCATTTGTTTGCTAAATGTTTCTGAAAGCTCAGAGAACCATATGAACTGCTACTGCTGTTTGACCTCTCACACTCAAGGTTAATGGAAGTTCTTTGCAGAGTCAGAAAAAAAAGCATGGCTTTAAGCTAAACTAACCTGTCAGGGACAGCCAACCACAAATGGACCCCAAAATATCGATGCTAGTTAAGGTAATACAAAGCAAACAAATCCACCATTTTAAAGTCCCTACACCTGGATTTTATTCTGCTGGTTTCAGAAGGCTGATCCCCTTTGTTACTAAATCTCACATTTTTGCATGCCCTTTCAAGTATCTTTGAAATGACTTATTTTAAGAGGTGAATGTAAAATTCTTGCATCAAATGGTTATGGTTTTTGTAATCTAGGCCTAATCTGGGACCTGGAAATCTGAATTTACTTGTTGAAAAAGGAAGCAGTATTGACATATAACACCTAGATCAACAGAATAAGGTTGAATATTTATTTACTTCCAAATGGAAAGGCATTTTTTGGGACCAGGCTTGATATTTCACTTCAACTGTGTGGCATATAGACTTTATTAATTAGCACATCACCTTTATTCGCTGCTAACATATTAGTATGGCAGCATGCAGTACTGGGGGGGGGGTTAATTTATTTTAGCACATTTGTATCCTGATCATCTTCTATATGGCTTACAAATACGTAAGAACCATATTTATTTTACATTCTGAACAGGGTCTGTATTATCTGCCAGCATGGAAAAAATAATAAATTATTTCTTCAGCTCAGAATGATCCCTAAAACATTTGCAACATTGCATTAGAATCTAATCCCACTGAAGTTAGTAGGACAACTAGTTTGCTACCAACCATCTTTTTAATAACATGAAAGTCCACAGGAAGCTGCCTTATATTGTACTGAATCAGACCATTGGTCCATCTAGCTCAGTATTGTCCATGCTAGCTGGCTGCATCTTTCCAGGGCTTCAGATAGGACTTTCCCAACCCTGTCTGGAGGTCTTCTCTATCATTAACCTATTATTCAAAACCAGGGGTGGTCTGAGAGACACATCTGCTGCCAGCCATCCCTCCAAAGCCTACATGCCAACAATGAGCATGGCCTATGTCTGTGCACACACCAACACCTACACCCACTTATAGCACCCACATACAGTGTGAATGCACAAACCACAACACTCGCCACACATACAGGAACACCACTCTCTATCTCCCACTCACTTGTCTCAAGCACCCTTCTTCCTGTGGGAACATTTATATAATTTAGCAGAGTTTAAACGATCCCCTGTTTGAATTTATGCAGCGACAAGCAGGTTGCTAACTCGTTTGAGTCCTATCAATTACAGCATACCTTCCCGGTTGATAATTCCCTTTCTGTCCCTCTTAAAGAAAACACACATGAATCTGAATCATATTAACATAAACTACTTTACTTTCAGATCCATTCAGGTTTACACAGTTGTTCCTGAAGGCAGATGGGTTACATAACAGATAAACCATATACTAGATAGTACTGAATCATGAGAAGACTTCATCTGAGCAGTTACCAGTTAACACTCCTTGCAGCAACCGACCAACCAACCAACTGACTAAACTGCCTGCCACTTAGAGGCAGTTAGTCCTCTCGGAATGTTGGACTTGACTGACAACTTTATATCCCTTCCTTCCTTCCTTCCTTCCTTCCTTCCTTCCTTCCTTCCTTCTCTCTCTCTCTCTCTCTCTCTCTCTCTCTCTCACACACACACACACACACACACACACACACACACAAACACATACAACCTCCTGCTCTTGGCTGTGCTTTAACTTTAACCAGATAAGGTTTTGCTAACTGTATTGTATATTCCAACTAGAAGATACCTATTCCCTTTTGACTGGGAACTGCTGTTTGCTGCAGTGTTTTGCTCGCCAGCTCTCCCATTTTCACTATTGTTGTGGCTGCTACGTGGAAGAAAGAACAGATTGATCATGGTACCATGTGGCACCTCTTTGGCTCCACTTGGGAAGAGCAATGTACACTGGCGCCAAGTTTTGCAATGCATTTGGGAATCTCTTAGCCTGAAAGGCAAAATATAAAATTAAGCCATTCTTAATAGTAATCATTTATCTCGACTGTGTCATAGATCTTTGCCTTCTGTCGGAGACAAAGCTCAGACACTGTAGCGGCTGATTATCTTATTGCAGAGTCATAACCACAGGCAATATTGATTAAACACTGACCTCAGAAAGAGAAAGCTGGTGTATATTTGGGTGAGAATGGCTGCTTACCGTACCTCCTTGGTGTGCGGTGGTTGCAGCCCTACACGGCACCTCCCGCGTTGCTCGGAAGCGACGCACCATTTTGAGCGCAGCATGTCCCCCTCGGCAGTCGTGGAGGCTC